GTTGATCCTCTGTACTACAATGGGAGATTAAGATCAGGACTGTCATTAGTGCTGAGTTACTGCAGTTTCAGAGGTTTACGATCCTTTTGTGTTTCTGATTTTTGCTTCCATTATGGCCCATTGCTCCTGTGTGACCTAGCAAATAAAATCAAGGTAAACATATAATAAATAAAGTAATAAAAACTCCCCATTGTAAATTTCTGATTAACTGACATTGAAGAAAAATTTTTTTTTAAATCACCTCTTTCATGCCATTAAACTCGCCAGCAAGGGAAACATATTCACCGCCATCCATTCGAATGATCTGTGAGGACAGAGGAGATATATAAGATGGAAATTTGTCTTTCACTGTGAAAAACATATTAGCTGCCCTGTCAGGGCTCCTTAACTTTATAAGTATAGGGCCATTACAGTAATGCACCGGACCATATAATTCCATATTGATCTCTGCAGCACAATTTTTTTCTCTAATTCTTCACAAAATTCCCTCAGATATTCAGAGAGGGAAAAGGGGTGGAGTGTGTGCCCTTGGCACCATTTCCATTTGGCTGTAAACGGAGAGGCCCTGTGGGGATGATGCTAGGTGAGCTCTCACCCAGAGAGATGAAGCACTTTTCACGCAAGGTCACCAAACTCACCGCGCCCGATACCCAGCTGGCATAATCGCTGCAGAGGTAGGCGGCAAGGTTGGCGATCTCTCCAGGAGTTCCCAGACGACCCACGGCTATATTCTCTAACAACAGCTGCTCAAACATACCAGTGGGATCCAGTCTGCTAAAGGCACCCTTCAGAAAAATACCGGAGTCACTGTAAAGCACTGTTTTTCAAATGGATTACATACAATTTTTAAAACGTAAAGCTTTAAAGATTGAAAATAATCTAACAGGACAGAAAGTCAAAGTTAAACTTAAAAACCAAATAATTCAGACTGGTTTTCATTGAAATGATCTGACAAGAAGTATGATTCATTCACAAACTGGACATCACTCCTTCTCCATACACACACCTAGGTTTGGATGATGATATTTTCAGAGAAGAACAACTTAAAAACATGAACATTACCTTGGTTTTGATTGGTCCTGGTTGAATAATGTTGAATCTCATGCCGTATCTGCCCCACTCTGCTGCCAGAGACCTATGGGTAGACTGAATCAGTCAGACCTTTAACACATGCTCTGATTTATTTAAACTTTGTCCTACTTTTCGGGGACATCTGCTCGTCCTATCTATCAGACATGGCCACCACAGTTTCTAGTGCCATGATTTTCCTGAGACAGACTTTTTACCATTAGGTTTATCACACAGGGAAAGCATTAAGAACCATGGTGACTCATAGTCAAGCCAATGAAAATGCAATCAAAGGGCTGCTAAGGCTCTGGTGATCTTATGTACAGAATGTATAGAGTATACTTCAAATCAGAGTGCAATTATGTTGCCACTTTCCACTTCAGCAAAATAGTTTTTTTTTGTAAGGTCCAAATCCTGTATATAAGTACTGTAGGGTCATTGAAAATTCAAAGCAGCAAAAAAGCGATTTTATTGATTTAAAAAATAAATACATTTTAATATTTGTAAGAAAAAAAAACTTATTACACTTCCACATTCAGAAAGCAGAAGCAACTAGTAAAACAACTTCCCCTTTAGTTTGTATTAATGGTGGTTCACAAACATTCAAACATTTGAACTAAACAAAATGTGAAAATTAAATGATTTTTAAAATATTTTATTCATTATATTTATTATATTAATATATTAAAACACTATGACCTATATATATATATATATATATATATATATATATATATA